TGACATTTCCATAAAAAGTAGCATTGACATCTAATTTTAATCACTACTAGGAGTGGAACCACCACAGCTGACACTATTCCCGCAACTTTAAAAAACAATGACTGGGGTCAAAGAGATCATTACTTTTGGTTCTGCCAGAACTGTTCCATCACAACCTTCTAACCACCATTCCCAAAAAAGATGAATTGGGCAGAGCAACAGTTGAGAACAATGACAAGAAGCTTTCTTAAGCAACATCCTAGTAGTCTTGGAGTTGCTCATCAATGCCTTCCCTTCAACAATAGCCTAGCGTATTCCCACTTGCCTTTATTAGACAAGTTATGGACCCAACCTGTAGGCTTGTACCCTGCAGCTCCCTCAGAATCTATGTCCAAATCTGTCAAAGCTCAAGTAGGAAAGATGGTGCCAATCATGCACGGTTTTGTCACTATGAAGACAGCTTAGTCCAAATCCAAGTGGTTTTATCTGCAAGTAATTTTAAATCATTCTAAATAATAAACCTGTGACTGTTGCTAGACTAAAAACATCCTCCGTCAGCCAGGCTGTTCATCTTCTGGAAAGGTGCTGCTGATCAGAACTTTGAAGATGCTATGATGAAGATACCTACCTTCCTTCTCCTGTACAGTGAGGAGTTTTCAACAGGACTTCTCTGAGTAGCCTCCCTTTGTATGTTCCACTTCAGGTATGCATGCACTCCATGTGCCTTTAATCTGAGATTTTTGGTAGCAGTGCCTCTTCGGCCCATGGGTGTACACTAGATTTCCTCATGCCCATACGGAGGCGATACAGAGCTGTGCCCAAGAGGGCAAACCACCACCCTTCGTTACTTCTCAACTGTCCTGCAACAGAGCATCTAGCATGCCTGCTTCAGGTTGACATTGTTTCCTTTTACTTTATAGCTCTATTTTGTTTTAGGGTTTTTTCCTCCATTAAACACCTCATTTCTCTTCTCCCTCCTGCCCGCCTCCCATCAAGAGACTCTACTCAAGGGTTATCAGTGTGGTATACCAGGGTCCATGGGACTCAAGCACTGCCTCACATGCTTGGAATCTATTGCAGATAGCAAATGACATTCACAGTGCATCCACTGTCTGGGAGACACATACATAGTTGAAAAGCGTACCAGTTGCAGAAATTGGCAAAGCTGCAGCTTGAGCATCAGTTCACACAGTTTCCAAACACTTTGTTCTGGTATACACCTCCAGGCAGTCAGATGCTGCTGTTGACACAGCAGTCTTATTACAGTTTTAGATCAAGCTCTGAAGCTTGCTCCTCTTTCCAGGAATGCTGCTCTGGAGTGGAGCACCAATAGGGACACTACTCAAAGAAAGAGAGGTTACTTACCTTGTACATTAAGTTCTTAGAGATGGGTCCCCCTATGGCTGCTCCAGTACCCACCCTCCTTCTGCAGGACTTTATGGTAGAAAAGGAACCAAGAGTGTTTCACCCAAACAGTTCTGTATCCCCTTGGTCCGATGTCTAGAGCACATGCCGAAGAGAGACTGCCACAAAAAAAAAAATCTCCCAAAGACATATGCACACCTGAGGTGGAGTATCTATAGGGATATCCTCAAAAATACTCCAGTTACTGTACAAGGTAAATAATCTCTCCTTCCACTACTACAGGGAAGTGAACTAGATTACTTATAACTAGTAAAGTGAATTAGAACACCACAGTGACCTGTGAATATAAAGTCAAGAAAGGGGTGTTTTGGAACTACTATATCAACAGTAGATAAAAGGTTAACATAATATCCTACCAGACCATCAACAGAATTCTGTCCACACATACACACACAAAATTCATCCTCAGAAGCCCAAAGGATTCCATCAATCTTCAAAAAGGTCCTTCAGTGACAAAAGTACAATTTCATGTCTGTTAAATTCAATTTAAAAACATTTGTGAACGAGTCAAGCAGACCATCCCTTTTCATGACACAAGCAGACACAATATAGGCAATGGTATTGTTTGCCCACTTTAAAGGGCACTAAGTATTGGGCACACAAGCTTGGGGGTTATAAGCCTTTATCTGTTTGTTGAAATTTCTGCAATAGAATTGGGCAATCCCGACACAGCCTTTCAAAACTGTAAAAGTTATCAGTTCACACAATTTGTTTGCTCTAAGCATGATTGAGAATAAAGTTAATGTGTGTATCGCTATTAAAAACCACGTAGTCCAGGCTAGTGAAATGGTAGATTGCCAGATTTTTGTTTTGCAATTTGTGGGGAAGAGACATCTAAGGGTTATCGTGATTGTTTTGAGCTGCTGGCAAAAAAAAGTAACTTTTCCGGGGGGTGGGGATGTTAAAATGGAAGATCAAGGAGAGAAATAAGGGATCGTTAGAATTTGAAGTTAACACATGTTTAAGTTATGAGTTTACAACCTTGCTAGAAGTAGAACCTTATAAATTGTCACTTCAAATGTAAACAAACATTTTAATCTTGTGAACATTAGAGCATAATTGTTTTTCTGGATTATTTACCCCCTATTCAATTTTTACTGACTAGTTACTTAATATGCTTTCCACTCTGTCAGTCACTCCTCTCCTTTTTATCACAGCTTCTCCTCATCTGTTTTATCAGTACAGGCTGTTAGAAATGGGACTTGTAATAGAATTCCAATCTTTGAAAAGCTTAAGTTAGAAATCTGAAGCCTCTAGATGACACTACTAGAAGGAAAGGAGTGGGTGCAAGAGATAAGTGGAAGTTCACTGCAGTGAAATACTGTTCCAAAAAAATGAAAATCTGCTGCAGATCAGTGTGCCCATGAGATTCCCAGAAGCCCTTTATAATTTTGTCTGTTCTGGTAGCTCACCTTCACATTTCTCTTATTTTCTCTCTTTACCAGTTATCTTTAGTACAGAACAGTCAAAAGGAGTGAGAATGAATAAGCACGTGATTGCTGTGAAACAGCACATTTGCAGCCTCATGCAGGTCACAAGTGGTTTACATACATGCTCTACAGAAGCCATTTGTAGAGTGGGAACAGTGTTAGGAATGACGTGTGGGGGCAAGCAAAGCAGATTTAAAGGCAGGATTCCATGATAAATGTTGGAACCATAGTCTTCTCTTGAGCAGTCTGTATAAGCAAGGGGATGTCATTCCTATAGTAGTTAGCTACTGGATAAAGTGGAAGAAGGGGGGCGGGGGGCGCGCGCGAAAGACAGCAGCTGCTGTCATGCAGAGCTATAATGAATTTGGGTTCCCCTAGGTGTAGCTATATCTATTTAAAAAAAGTACTCACACAACCAGTTTGAAAAAAGTTGGAAAGAGACAGTATTTGTTGAACTTCAAGTTAATATTTGTTAACTTACTGATGTAACCAGTGCCAGGATGTGAAGTTTGTCTACTTAATGTGTACATCTTTTAGACCCCATAAGAAAACAGCAAAACATTACCCACAAACGCACTGATTATCTGTGCACAACATATATAGACTGCAAGATTCCCCACATAGACACCACAGAAGATACTGAAACATTTTAAGTTGTCAAAATATATAACCAAGGAAAGTAAGTCTATGCAATCCCTACATACGAGATATGTAAACACGAATATTGCCATAAATATTCCAGTATTTTAAAGGGGGGGGGGGAAGGGAGGGTGTCCCAACATATATAAACATTCATACTTCAAGGTTGTGAGACACCACTTATGCATATTCCTGAGTCCAAAGACAACTCTGAAGTCATTTGCCATCTAACAGTGAGATAAAAGGCTTGAGGGAAAAAAAAAAAAAATCACTGGATGAAGGCCATACAATACACCAGGTGGTTGTGGTGGGGTGCAGTCACCAGCAAGGTTCAGCAGTAACAGCCTGGTGAAAAACCCAACCCTATGACTTCCAGCTGCTTGAAGGGGGGAGGGTATTCCAACCCAGGGTGAATTCCCTTCATTAGGGCTGATCTACATACAATATCTGCAATGATTTAACTAAAATTGTTTTTTAAATCTATTTACTTAAACCAACCTTCATTCCTGTATTGACACAAAATCCCAACTGTGTGGACACAGTTAAATTTGTTTACAACTGGATTGTGCTCATCACAGGGCCTGACACTGGGATAAGTGAACAGTTTTAAGTTAAACTGTTGCAACTTTTACAATTACAAAAACCTATTAGCCAGAATCTGAGAACACCTGACCAATCTGAAATACTCCACTTAATGGCTGGGGAAAGGGACTTCTTTCTCTTCCCCATATAGTCAGTCTCTTCTGCTCTCTCCAGTCTGATTTTGATATTCCCTCCTTCGGAACAAATACACTGAAACTATTCAGACAGCTTTCCATAACAGTAGAGGAAAAAAAAACCCACAAGATTGTCGGTTTCAGTGCTGGCTAAAGAACTCCCAATAGCAGTAGTGAAATGGATCAATTTTGCCAATTTCACTCAGCTGCTACTTGGGAAAAATATTAAGCAGTGAGGTACAGAAAAACATATGCAGGCTCAGGAAGACAGCACTGCATCAGTTTATATTTGATCCACATTCAAGAAATCCTTATGGGGTGTGAAGACCGCCAGAAATTTGTTTTTAAATAAAAAGCTTAAATTACATAGTTTCCAGCTGCTTAACTCTCCCTACTCATCAATACTAATATGCTATTTACAATTAAAGTGGATTTTTTTTTTTTTAAACCCTGATAACTTCAAGGACATATTTACAGATACTGACAAATGTTTTCAAGAGTGACTAGTGATTTCAGGTGCCTCAGTTCTGGGTATTTAAGCTGAGACACCTTTAAAGAGGCCTGATTTTCAGAGGGTGGAGAGCAGCAATATGAGAAATCAAACCCTTTTAATATGTTTCGAGTTGGACACGAAAACATCAAATCACTTTGAAAATCTTGGCCACTGTCAACTATCAAATTACAAGTATTGCTACATGGCGGGCTTTACGAAAAGCAGTTTGGACAGAGTGGTACATTTCCCATTAGGATTTGAGAGAAGTCCCATTTTAAAAAGTTTGTTTATACAGTAGAAACCCATTTATTACTTTACCTTAGGATCAGTTCATCTCTACCCAAAACCTTAAAGTCTGTTTCACTAAGGCGAACCTGCAAAGTAAAAAAAACAAAAAAAAAATGTAACTGTCACTGCTACCAACAAAACAAGGGGAAAAAACGTGAAAAAATTTCAAACTTACCTTCTTTGGGAGAGGTTCTTCATTAGTCATTGTGAACTGAGGAAGAAAAACAAACATTACTTAGTCTGATTTGGTCCAGTTACTGAGTTCAGAAAGTTAGCCCATCTTTGCATTCCCAGCCTTGATATAAAGAAAACCATCAGTGAGGTCAGATGCTGAAGTACACAACATCTGTTTGACAACAAGCCACCATAACCATGCTGGTCACTCTTCCAGCACAAACATCAGGAGGTAGAATTCAAGTAACATTTTATTTTGGTGATACTATTGATACTGGTATTACAGTTATTTTTACTGTGACTAACAAAAGAATGGTCTGATAAAATTTAAAATTGTCTTGTGTTTATTCTCATTTCTATTTTCACAAGTGTAGTAGGAAAACTCTACATAGACGCTTACATATTTAAGCAAACATCTATAATTTTGCTATTAACCCTGGTGATAACCTCCAGAGAATACTCTTCCAGTTAATACTTATTTCCGCCATACATATGCACAGTTTACTCTCCTAGTGAGACAGTTTGCAGCTTTATTCTGTAGTACTGCTACCAATGTTTATGAAACGCAAAGTCCTCAGAAGTCTCTCTCTCTCTCTCTCTCTCTCTCTCTAACGGGTCATGCCTTGTAGCGACAGGTGTAATGACAGGCATAACAAAACCTAATAGGCAAAGGTCAAATACCATAAGAGGCAATGGAAAAACCACCACCAAAATAGAGGATCACTTACTTAAAACTTTTTGGTTGGTTATAGTGTTTTAGAAGAAATACAGGAGCTCAATAGAAGGTCATAAACAGCAAAGATAGCAGTTTCAGGTCTTTTATATTTTAATTTATGCACAACATTAATTTCTTTGGCAGTCCACTACTGCAATGGTAAGTCAGTCACAGGCCAATCTAGTTAAACAGGGTTTAATCACAAAAAATTTTTGGTGGCCTCAGAGTGCGGCCACCACCTCTTGCTGGGGGCCACTTTATTTGTTTTTCGAAAGTTAATTAAGATTTTAGGAAAAATTGTCAAATATGAATATCCAATTCACTGCCATTTATTTATGTAGTTTTTTTGCAGACTCAGTAATAAAAATTAATGTAGTTGTTTCTATTTACTGGACCTCAACAGAATAGAAACAAATAAGGTGCCTTGCACGTTCTTGGTTTTTGGTGTTTGTTTTTGCTTTTTTGGGGTTGCCTTTTTAAGGTTTGCTAGTTAGTCTGCTTCTGTAAAACATGATATTTGTATGTTTAACATCACTTCTCAGCAGCAGCCTTGCTAGCTAGCTGGGAGGCAGCGACAAGTGATATTAAACATACAAATATCACTTTTCACAACAGACTTACTCAGCCCTGGCAAGCCAGGAGACAAATTAAGCTCTGGATGGGGGAGGCGGGTAGGGAGGCAGCACAGCGACGATTTGGGGGGGGGGGGGGGGGGGGGGGGGAAGGGGCCAAGGGGGGGGGCGGGGGGGGGGGGGAATGGATGGGGGTCCAAGGGAGGCAGCAGTGGCTAGGGCAATGGGGTGGGGGTGGGGGGTGAGCCTGCAGCTGGAGCCTGGGGACCAGAGGCCTGCAGCTGCGCCACCAAAGTGCAGGGCTGGAGGACACAGCAGGGACCAGGAATGATGGAGGGGTGGGCCCAGGGCCAGCACCCACTGCCACGTGGCCGAGGCCTGAAACCCTGCAGCCAGGGGACGGAGCCCACTGCCTTCCTCCCAGGGCTGAAGCTGAAAGCCAGAAGCCCGTGCCCTATCACCCCCAGGAAGGTGGGGTACTCACACTGGCTGCCTGCTTCTCAGGTGTTTATGGCTCCAGATGGGGGCAGGGCCCAACCCCTGCTGACAGCGCCAGAGGAAAGGCCCCTGTTTTGTCCCCCTCCCTCCCACCCCAATCACCATCCAAGAGGCTGTGGCTACACGAAAAGCCCCTGGTGGCTGCATCTGAGAAACACTGAAGTAGCTCCTGAGTAACATTAAGGCGTTGGCTACACTCGGGAATTCACAGCGCGGCCGCAGTCGCGCCGCCAGCACTGCGAGACCTCTCTCGCAGTGCTGTAAGTACTCCACCTCTCCGAGGGGAGTAGCGTGCAGCGCTGCAGGCTCTGATCACAATGGCGCTTTACAGCACTGCACTCGCTGTGCTCGGGGGGGGTGTTTTCACACTCCTGAGTGCAGCAAGTTGCAGCGCTGTACAGCGCCAGTGTAGCCAAGGCCTTAGCCTGTTTGGAAAGTGGCTGATGATTTAAAAGGGTTATAGACTCCCTTTGTTTCAAATCAATTTGCCGGAGAAAAGCCACTAATTCCACACTGACTCAACTCAGGGGAAGTAGTTTATGAACAAACACACACAGTTGAAGGATAAAACAAAACTAAATTTTTCAATTTAACTAGGATACCCCAGTCTGTTATGCTCGAACCTCTCTGCAACACTTCAACATTAAATAACCTCTAAGTACCTCCCATGATTATTTTTTTTGACACAAGTTTTAACAATAGGTTGAAATTTTAACCAATTCTAACCTGGGGGGACAGGGAAAAGGGGACAGAGAGAGACTCCAGCTTTACACAGGCCAAATAAGTCTTTTAAACAACAAAAAAGAGACTGATCCCCTCCTCCCTCTGAAGGAAAGCTTCAAAACTAGAAAGCTGCTGTGATTTAGATGGAAGAGAAAGAAGTATAGCCACCAGAAAAGCATTTGTGGAGCAGGAAAGATGCTATGCAGTTGGAAGCAGCTCTACTTTGTTTAAAAAAAAAAAAAAAAGTGGAGTGCAAGAACTCCTTTGCCAAACACTGAGATTCTGTTCTTAAAGACCCTAGTTAAAGGGCAGCAACAGAAAAACATTCCCAAAGAGTGTTTAATAAAAAGGAAATAATGGTGCAACAGTCAACAGTTCTGTTTTCCCAGGGAAACTTTTCAAGACTGCATCAGTAAGTATCATTAACTTGTCCATTATACTACTGATGCAGAGAAAAAGCAACCATATTTTGGCTAATAGGTTTTCATTAGTTTTGCAAGACTGATCTAACAGATACCGGAGAGTTTTACTAAAAAAAATTGCTTGGTTCCCAGAAAATATGTTCATCTGATTTTACTTTTATTTCTTTAGTATGTATTATTGTTTTAAGTGTGGAGGGTGGGAAGTAAAGGGAACTTGTTTAGATAGTAATTCATCTCAGGTGCACAGTTCAGTTCTCACAGATAAAGTGCCTTTTAAAAGTTTTAGAGTTGAATGGCTAAGGAAAGAGGGTCATCAAATCACTTGCCCAAGGTGAACCTCTAAGGCACCCAGTTTCTCTAATCATTGCATTTTATTATAACACTGGAAGTGTTAACATGTTTGTCTTATAATCTGGTATTCATTAAAATGGGCTCTAGTCTATTATGAAATAGAGTCTGTGGCTATGTCTGTACTACAGACTTTTGCTGAAATAGCTGTGTCAGTCCAGGCAGTTCTCAACCTATTTACCATTGTGGGCCAAAAATACAGCTCTCTGTGTTATGTGGGCTGTATCCACACACTATATATACTACCTGTATGGCCCCGAGGATGTCACATGGGCTGCAGCTGTCTGCTGATTGGGCCGTAAGCGGCCCATGGGTTGAGAACCACTGGTCCAGGGTATTGAGACATGATCCCTACCTGGCTAAACTCTACTTTTCCCCAGTAGATCAAGCTATACAAGTAGAGAGGGCTTGTCTACACAGTGCATTAGTGCACACGAGAGTGTAAATTCTCATGTGCAGCAGCATGTCACGCACTGTGTGCAACCTTGCTGACACAGACTAAGTTTCAAACAGTACTATGGCAACGCCAATTAGGGAACTTTTAGAGTGCACCAGCACAGTTCACGATACACTTGCTGCACACAAGAATTTACATCCCCATTGGTGCTCACTAACGTACTGTGTAGACAAGCCCAGAGAATAAACTATGGAACGCATCTTTACCACTATAATCCACACCAGGAGAGCTCTGCCAGTGTCATATATTGGTATACCTACATACGTAAAACACATCTAGCAAAGGCATAACTTATGATAAGAGCAACTTGGATTTTGACCTTTTTTTTTTTTTAAACACACACAGGAGAGAGGTATCAATGATTAGTTTCCATCTAAGAGAGGTAGAAGCAACAGCCTTCTTAGCTGTCCTCAGGACCAGACTTATCAGCATGTTATGAGCAATAAGGAACACTTACACTCAGAAAAGACAAAAAGATCATTAAGGGCAAGTCTATGCTTAAGATGCTGCATCAGCACAGCTACACCACGGTAGCACTTCAATGAAGACGCACTAAGCCGACGGGAGACCTCTCCTATCAACATAGTTAATCCACCTATACCAACATGGCGCTGTCTATGCAGGGGCTTAGGTTGGTATTACTACATTGCTCAGGGGGTGGGTTTTTCACACCCCTGAACAACAGTTATACCGATATAGGTCCGTAATGTAGACCTGGCCCAAAAGTAATGAATGGTTGTTTCTTTAAAAGAAAGTGGTCCTGTGGTCAAGTGTATAGGTAAGTTAAACCTACCCATAAATTTACTTAAGTAAAATACTAGTCCAGTTCCAGTAATGTGGTTTTATACAGTTACAAATGCATGGACTATTTTTAAATTCATAATATAATACAGATTTAATTCTGTTGATTTTAGTGTTTTTAAGAGCTTAAATCTCACTTATTTTCTAGTGCTCTAAAAGATATACCTTTCTCCCAGACAGCAGCAAAGAAAACCATAAGTTTCCTTTTGTTTTGTTTCACAGGAGAAAGTTTATTTTTTTTTTTAAATCTCAGACTTTCAAAGAGCAAATGCTTCTTTTGAGTGATCAGTTACAAAAAATTGAGTTTTTAAACTGTATCCACCCACTTGCCATGAGCAAAAAAAATTTTTTTTTGGGGGGGGGGGGGGGGGGGGACACAAGTAATGAGTTATCACGCACCCTTGTGGAACATTTTCAAGATACTTAATTAAGCCTTGCAAAATCATCATGAAGCTTCTTCTCTCCCTCCATTCCACACTATTTTTTAACAACAAATATAAT